GTTCCTCAGACTGTCCACAATGGAACAAAAAAGCAGCGTCAATGAATGGACACTACTGTCGGACAACAATGCAACACTTCTATGTAGAAATTACAGTCACGCAAAATTGTAGCTATCAGTCATCACTGGTAACGATGGTTTATGCCTCTGAAAACTCAGTTTATTACTCAATATAGAGTCCACTACTTGTAGAGATTTTGTTCACAGAGTAGGGGTGGCTGTGGCTCAGGAGGTAGAGCAGGTAGAGCAGGTCATTTCCTAATCGGAGGATTAGCGGTTCGATTCCCGGGTTGTCCAGTCAACATGTCGAAGTGTCCTTGAGCAAGACACTGTACCCCCAGTTGCTCCCGGTGATGTCACCTGTGTGTGTGTTTGGGAGTGCGAATGGGCGAATGGCCAAATAGTGTGAAAGTGCTTTGAGTGTGCTGTAAAGCATAGAAAGGTGCTATACAAATATGAGACCATTTACCATCATTCCCACTACACAATGCCATTTTGCTGTTTTTTACACTTATGTTAGCAAACTGTATACTGATGGATCTGATGAGAAGGGAGACTGGAGGCAGAAAGACATCAGCAATGTGGAAGGGGTGTAGGGACAGCCCAGACAGCTGAGGTTACTGCAGTGATGGAAGACCTGCTGGAACTGGAAAAACACAAGATAAACGCAGCAAGATTGATCATTGATTAACCACTTCTTCTATCCATGGTCACCGGTGTAATTGGTGAGTACAAGTTAACTGGTTCCTCAGACCAGGGTCCTGGTGTGACGGGCGAACAAAGGTTCGCTCTTAATTCTTCCTTTGAGGATTCAACTCCTTCTCCGTTCACTGATCCCAGTATGAGAGATGACTAGGGGTTCATTATTAATTCTTCTTTGAACTTCTCTTCTTCCTCAAGGGGTTGTCTTTTCCTAGGGCTAGGCAGCACTTTTTCATCCTTGCCTTCCCCTTTTTCTTCTGGCTTCTCTTTAATCACTATCAAACCTTGTATTTCCTGGATATATATGCTTGGCGTACACATGGGATTTCCTTTTGCAGACCTACAATCTGATTAATGGTTGCCTTTAATTCTTTCACACTTCCAGGCCAGTCACCGGGGCCTCACAGACCAGGTCACCTCTCTTGCATTCCATCACCTCCAATGCTTCTTCTTCCGTCTCAGTGACCTCTGACCTTTCATTAGCAGCCTTCTCCTTTCTTCCTATTCTGTCCTTGGAAACTGTATTTACCGCCTCACTGACAAAATGACAGTTGTTTGATGGGCTGGAATTTAAAAAAACTACTTGTTTACTGTATAAATTACACAGTTTGAATCTGTTAGTACAATTCAACAACAGTAGAAAAATGACACAATAATGGGGTACTGTGATAATAATCATAAAGGAGGGTGTCTACCATTTATCTTGTAATCTATTTAGTGCACCCTTTTGTCTGCCCTTATGTAACACATTTCAGTATTTCACCCTCCCTGGGAGTCCCCTTTTTGGGGAGGGGACGCTGCTTTCCTGCTTCCAGTTTCCTCATTCAGTCTTATTTCCAAACCCACCATCCCTTGATATTCTCGAAAGCCCCGACCAGGATGTATCACATTAAGTAAAGGGTGAAAAGGGGACATTCTTGTAATTTGTCTACAAGGCATTATAAGAGGGCTGCTGGGAAAAGTGGTTTCCCAAAATTCTCAGTTTGTTTATATACTGTCTTCTATCACGCCACAATCACATGACAGCTGTAAAGATTCAATCACAATTTACAGACCTTGAGCAGCAGAACAATGTAGTTGTTTTGAGAAGAGTTAGTTCTCTGCTGTCAATGCAAACCACAAGGGTTGTGCTTCACCCTGAAGGAAATGGAAGCATCAATAAGATGGTTTACGTCGTGTAAAGGATTACATTCACAGCCAGTTTTAAAAATCGTGTATTGACCGGCATCCTCTTCGTTTCTACTTTTCAGATAGATTCTGTAAACTAGACAAACTTTTAACACGTATTTCACAGGAATGTCACTGAACAAGCTTCCCGTGTGTAAAGCACATCGTAAGGGAACAAACAATTGCAATTGTTGCCCTCTCTGTGGCAGAGATACAACAATCCAGATGGGATGTGGTGCTGAGTTTCTGACAGCACAAGTCCCAGCGAACACAACATCAGCAGCCTCAGAGAGAGAGAAGGTGATGTTAGGATGTTTTATCAGGATTGGCCTCAAATTTCCATCAAAACAGAGCAACAATGTATCTCCACCAACAGATCCCTTCTGAAAGCTGGAGGAGGGAAAGAAAAACAGCAGTGCTCATCAGCGATATGTGGTGAATACTGGGACCTGGCAACTAAAAGCAGCCATAACACCGGACACACTTTCTTTCCTTTCCCTTTCATTTCTGCTCTGCAACTGCTTTGAAAAATAAGTAAAATGGCAGAAAAAAGAAAGGTTTTCATTGTCCAATTTAGTATAATATTTACTATAAGGATTATGGTTGATGCATTAATATATTTGTATTCATTCATTTTGCAGCTGTTAGAGACAGGACTAATTTTAATTACTTGGCCTCAGTTAATGGTCAATTGCACTTGTATACGTTAGCATGTTGTGATCTCAAGCAAACAAGCTTGTTATGTTGAGATGACACTTTTTCATGATTACAAGAAAACTGAGCAAATCAGTATCTACCCATTATTCCTGATTCATTATTAAAGTTTTATAGCCCTGGTCTTGCCTGCTGCACCACAGTGTTCTCTATATCACACAAAGGGATTCACATTCACCAAGCAAGAGCTTAGCAGAGAAATGCACAAAAAATCCCTGAAGCTGTCGCACAGCCTCTTTATTTGGTTGCCATGGAAATACAATAAATAAAAAAACGAATCTAAAGAAAAAAAGCTTGAGACAAAGCTGCAATATTGCTGACAACACAGCAAAAGTTGTGATAAACCTAAAACTATTGTTTTTGAAAACACGATAATAACCTTGACCAAATGTCCTCATCTAGCCAGGAATAAAGCACAGAGAGTTGATTTGCCATTCGGTGCAATGTCTTCATGTCCTCTTTTCCAGGCATATCAAATCACAGCGGTGTAGAAAGGCTCAGTCAAAACCAACCAACTACCTCTCCGTGCTTCTGAAAAACTGTTTCCACCTCTCAGGACCGAATGCGCAGCTGTTTGTGCATCGCAGTCTTCGTCTCTGTTGCAGACTCTATCGCATCAGTGAGTCCAGTGTCATTGCGTGCTCCTCCCTGCTTGGCTCTGACCTGCATACAGAAATAATCGCTTGGCAGACAGAGATGGTAGACACTGGTGTTTTCCAGCAGTGAAAGTTACAAAAGATCAGCATACATGACACATCCTGCCATTCTTTGACCTGTATCCCACTGCACAGACTGTGATAGTTTACACAGGATCAAATAATGCCAAGATTAAATGGCTGCTGTAAGTGTAACAACTGGGGTTTTATCATAGTCTGTGCAGAGTTTGTGAAAGTTTGTACTGTTTGTCATATGCATTTGTCCATCAGGCCTTCTGGCCAGCTGATGCACCAAACACCAAATAAGCCAGAACAACCGGGTCAACTGTTTTGTGTCATCTGCCTTCTGCGCTCTGAGAATATGTCTTCACTGGATACCTTCCAGTAATACCCTATGTGGTGCTGCATTATGGTTTGGCAAACACTGCAGTTGTCCAAAGCCTCACAGTCACTGTTTTACTGGAGAGACTGGAGTCCTGCAAATGAAGCACAGGAGGTCAGTGTCATGTAAATGATATAATGTCCTCTGGCAGGCATCATGTTTTTACATGGTTTGTGTAGGGAGTCAGACCAATTCAGCTCTCTTATTATGCCCATATTAAGCTTGGCATCTGGCACAGACAGGGAGTCATAGTCAGAGTTTTCTTTTGATGGCCTAAGAGCTATATAAAGATGATCCTTCCAACAGTGGATGGAAATTAATCAGTTCAACAGTGTATGCTGACATTTTGTACTGAAGTATGAAGCTCATGAAGTACTGTGTGTTGACATGCACAGCACAAAAACTCACCAAAATATTTTTTCAGTTTGCACTGTGCAAAAATATCTGTTCTTCTGTATCGAATGTCCCTAAGTGAAAATATCCAAAGCAGTCTGATGACACTGACACACAGAATGAAAGACAACTGTAATTATGTCCTCAGACTTATGTGAATGGAGTAAAACCCGAGTGTAACTCTAATTAGTTTATATTTATTTATTTCTATTTATGTATATGCACAGAAAAAAGAGCTGTTGAATACCTGCATAAACATTTTGCGACACAACATGTGTTTAGTATTATTATTATCTTATCTATTTGAATTATTTGTGTAAACCAACTAACTTGGTGCCCTGTTTCAGCCCGCCCTGACAGTCTCATGACTATCAACATCAAAACAAGACAAAGTGTAAAGTGTTTCAGCATTTTAATGGCAAAGAGCCCGAGGCTCAGTGCGCTCTGCAGCTGTATCAGTTCACCACGGAGCGCGTCTGTTACATTTTTGATAGGATTTTATCTCCAGTCTGTCCTCCACAAATACTTTCTGCATCCAGTGCGAACAGCGGTCCTTATATCACACACGCACAGCTGAGTCCTACATGCAGTAGCCTACAATTACTGTAAAGATAAACAGCCACGCACAAAATTCATGCCCAGGTCGTGCTAAGTCCTCACCAATCATGGGTTGCCAGAAAACAGAAGTTCTAGTACTCTTGGTGAGCTAATGTATCATGTCTTGGTAGCACCAAAAATCTGTAAATTATAACTTCACAGAGTTTCGCATCAGACCTCCGCCCTCCTGCTGCTCCTACTGAAGGGCCTCCTTTTACGCACACTGCAAAAAATATCTACCACCAGAAATCATTTAAACTCGGCCTCTTAACTACTTAGTCTGTTCAAATAAATAAACGAGCCATTGAAGAGAAGAGACTCGAGTTGTTGACTGTGGAGAAAATCTGATGCACTTCAGACCTAATGTACACCTAAGTTACTCGTGCAGACTGATATTTTTTACAGTGGAAGGTTTACCGTCTCTGCCCACTCCTGCATCTTTTGCCTCTCTTCGCCGTTCCTCTTTCACACAGTTTGCCAGGAGGACCAGCCCCTGTCAGAGCCCTTCTATACACGCTTCTACACTGATAATTTGTTGCACCGACTAACAACTATGGCTGCACGGGACACTGCCTCTCTGCTCGTCGGACTCGTGGTCCTCCTTCACACCTGGGGAGGTGAGTGCCCGACAACCATTTAACACTCAAACCACGCTATCCCAACCACAGCATAGGTGGGATAGCATGCTGGCTTTGCGAACCTTTCCTGCATCTCAGAAATCAGAACGCAGAGACGCGCGTAAACATGCCCGGAGAGGAAAACAAATTAGGAAGCTTATTTTCAGAGTTGGAAATCAGAAACTTCATGTGATGCAGGAGCAGTTCGGTCTTGACTCTCCTTTGAGTCACACACACTGCTACTCCTTGCAACTGAGCTTAAGAGTGGAAGTTTAACTTTTCATTCCCAGGACATTTTAAACAGATTTTTAGGGACCAGACAATGTCACCTGCCTAGAAAATGTACCCCTAGCTGTGTGCTCATGCCACCTGTCCTGTTGCAGGTGTGATTATGCAGTCCCCTGTTGGTTAGGATACTTTTTCTTTCTTTATTTATTTAGTTGGTTGGTTGGTTGGTTAGTTAGTTAGTAAACTAGCTTATCAAAACCACCATGTCACTGCATCTTTTTGTTGGTGTTACCTGGCTCTATATATGTGCTTAAATGGCTCCATACGTTTCTCATAGAAGGAAGATCTTAGAAAGCGGGCACTTGTATTTATTAAGAAATATATTAAATAAGTAATATAACTTGAAGGTTGTGGCTTGGTAACATTAATTGAAATGTGTTTTATAGTGTATATATGCATTTTGTGAAGTGGATGTGCCCTTTGTTTTTGTAATTTGAAGGCTTTTTTCAGTGCACAGTGGGTTTGCATGATGTGTGATGCATGAAAAAGGAGGAATGTGAACTCCACACCAGTAAACGTCAGACCGGTGGCAAACAGATGGCAGTTTTGTTTTACATGTTGCGAATAAACATGCCTGGGTTGTTGGACACCCATAATGTAAGTGAAATGATCACGATGAGATGTCTATGAAGTTAGCTTTGTGAAGTTTGAGTAGTTTGCTGCATGTATTTTTAGCCCCTGTGTCCACAGAGGTAGAGCTGTGGTGAGGGAGCTTTCCATCTGCTTTCTGTCAGCAGAGATCAAGTGGCTCGGTGCTGCCTGGGCTCCACTGTGTTTCTGTCACACACACAAATGCATACACAGAGTGTGATACTGCTCAGGCTCATGTGATATTTACAAATTTTGGTGTGAAGCAAACAGATCAGCTGTGAGAGACCATAATAGAAAAGTTGGATGGAAACATTTGAGGTGCGGTTTATTTTTAGAAGAGAACACCTTGGTCTAGATTTATATGTACTGTTATGTGGGTGAGCGCTTTACATTACAGCTTCATTTCTCATACTTGTTTGTTTAAACAAGGCAGGTCAATGTGTGCTTCACCCACCCAACCCTTCCTCTCTGTGAGCTTGACTTCCCTCCTCTCTCACCCTCCAACTCTTTACCTTTCTTTATTCCTGTCTGTCATCAAACCATTTCCTACCTCATCCCTGTGTTGTACTGATCTCCTGTTTAAGTTCAGCCTGACTACTGCTTGTGGTCTCTTCCAGCTCTGCTCTTATCCTCATATCATGCCCACTTCCTGCACTTCTTCTTGTGCAGCGTCTTACCTCCTGAAGTCATGCTTTTGGTGGTTCCTGTAACCTCCAATCATTATCAACATTATCACAGTTGCTTGACTAGAGGAAGACATTTATGTCTTGATTTGAAAATTGGAATTAGATTTTTTTTTTTTTTAAAGACTTGTTTTCTGTGTTTTGGATTTCAAAAAGTGCAAGAAATATAGTGATAGGTCTGTAAAAGGTGTGAATCTTTGAGACTTTCCTCCTGTAAAATAGGACAGAAGGCCTATACGACGTTTGAACCGGCAGGTTATTATTACAAAATGCTACGTGTCTTAGTTTGGCAACATCTAGTGACAGCTATTAATTATGACACAAGGAAAAAAGTAGGTATATATAGGCTTAAGTCGATGTTTGAAGGAGGTTGGGGTTGATGGCTAGGTACACACAACACAGGACTTTCCTGTCGCTTGTTTTTCCAGAGTTTTTGTTCCAAAACGTAACAGCGTGGTTGTTCCCTAAACGTAACCAAGTAGTTTTTGTGCCTAATCATAACCAAGTATCCTGTGTGGCAAAACGTAATGACACCGTGACGATTTCATAATTGTAACTTCATATTTATGACAGTTTCCTGTGCCCAGAGATGATGGAGTTCCAGTAGCTTGCTGCTAGCTAGCCATCCTGTTTTTGTCTATTTCCATTACGACAAAGGTCTATAAAGCTTGGTAGCATGACGTACGTTGTCATTAATTTTGGTGGGACTGTAGCAATTCCTCTCACAGCAGTAGGAGTGCTGTTTAATGATACGCCTTCATGGGTCATATGAGAGGGAAGAGACAAACAACCATATGGGTCGTATAGGTTGGAGGACTTGTTGGAGTCTTTTCCACTTGTCAACAGTACAGATAGTACAAAGGCCAATCAAATAGATTATTTTTACAAGTGGTGATGCCACATTAGTGTTTTTGCCAGCAATATTCAGTTTACTGTCATATTAAGAAGCTGGGAAAAGCTAATTTTGGGCATTTTATGTTTGAGTAAGTACTTGGACAAATGTCAAAATAGTTACTTTTCAGTCAGTTGGCTAATCAAATCTATCAAATCTATTCACTGTTAGTTTTAGACATACGTCATACCAGATCCCTAGGACATTATTGGGAAAAGACTTTGCGGTGAGAATTTTAAATGGTTATCTCAAACATTTGATGATGATGGTTAACGGCCACTCAGGCTACTGCATCTGCAGAGACGCTCTGTTTGAATATGTGCCCATGGGGCACGAATGAGTGCAATTGTGTCTGTGCCAAAACTCCGCCTGCAGCCCCTGATGACATCAGAAGGAAGACAGGCATGCTGTTGGACTGTCATGGCGATTCTCGGTGCTATTCACTTCCTGTGACATCAGTTAATCAAGCTGGGCCAAAGAGCAGCTACATTAGACCTCGCTCATCTAAAGGTCATCACTTTCTGCTGCAGCTGAGGCACTGAAGCTCGGTTTCATGTGCTCAAGACAACTGCTGCTCTTGAGACCAAGTTAGCTGGTCACATACAATAAATGCCCTTGTTGTATCCGGGGACTGCAGCGTAGAAAATTGAGGACCAACAATCTGGCAGAAGATCAGCGGAGCAGAGCAGGCTTGAAACGGAAATCCCTGAATTTAGACTTGTTTTCCTGTACCTTCCACAGCGGGGGGCATGGCTGTTTCATTTCCATGCATTTGAGCAGATTGGACATTGTTAGAAAATGTTGGAGGTTGGAGGCCTTGGTTCATATATTTTTATACAGTTCATAAAAGTGATTTTGCTCTTGCTGTTTTTTTTTTTTGTCAAATATAACAAACACACTCATCGTTGCTTACATATTCTTTGACGTTTCTTAGTAACTGATGGAAATATTTGCTGTGCCCTTTATCCAGGTCCCTGTCTGATGTAAGTTTGTCACAGGCACGTGGTGCTTTATCTTTGTCCTGATATAAAGCCTTCAGCTGTTCAGGCTCTCTGCTTATGTCTTCCCGTAGAGGACATCAAACAGAAAAGGGCTGTTTTTGATCTGGCCCTTGACAGTGCAGCATTAATCTGGAGATGTCTAAAATTATTTTGGTGAATTTAGGTTGTTAGGATTAGTGAAACATAAGCCAGATCCCCAGTGAAACCCGGAAAGGAAACAGTGTAAAGGAAACTGAATATTAGTGCGCTGTCACAGTGGATCTTTACAGTAAAGTGAAGGACAGTGCTTATATAAGTTTTGAAAATCTGCTGTATCCATCTGTGTATCTGAGAAGAAAAAAACACAGCTGGTCATGAACATGACACAGATATGAGTGAGCCTGGCTCTTGCTTTAGAGGGAATCTGCAAACAAATGAGGTGTTTATCAAAGCCTCTCAAACCAAAGCAGATGTGCTGTAGGTGGGAACAAGGGCCAACACAGGGGATGTAACCTATAGCACTGAAAGGGTTACAGTAACACAAGTCACTTAAGTAACTTCACCCATTGGTTAATATAAGTTTCTAAAAAATAAACCATAGCATGCTGTCAATCTAGGTTACACGATTGACATTGCTAATGAGCAAACAATCCCTTCTTGACACATGTCTCAGGTTAACTGTGCACTTCAGATTTCAAAAACATCATTATTGTGACATGAAGTGACAAGCAAACATATTGAACTGTCACAAGACAACAGACAATATTCATTTGATTATATGGTGACAAGCAAATAACTGCAGGCGCCATTTTGAGATGAATGACTTATGGTGCTGTCATTTGACAAAAAAAAATTAATGATTCTCAACATAACATCAAAATAGGTCTCTTTTGTCTAAGCCCCTCTAAAGTGCGACCTTGACAGGTGCTTCCATGTCTCTGCTTAGTTTGGTCAGCCATCCAAGCAACAGACTGGTAAGCTTTTCTCACTCTCTTGCCTGCTTTTAAGGCTACCAGGGTCATGTTAGTCAACTTTCTCAGCCTGTATTACCATTGTCAGCCTTGTACACATCAATATTAAGCAAATAAAATGAATTACAGCAAATAAAACTCCTAAATTTTCCACAAAGCCACATTGCAATGTTGGTCTGAGGCTTTTGGAGACTTCTCCTCTTGAGCTGCTGTTGCACATTTCTGTACTTTTATACTGTACCTTACTGAAATACGTAGTCGTGTCCTGCTTATGGTTTTGTTTGACCTGTTCTTGATCAGGTTGGCCAGTGTTAGGACAAAACCGGTCCTTGCATGTTCTTTTATGAAGAATGGTCAAAGACAAATCTGTCTTCTGAGATATTTATTACAATCAATATTTAAGGCAAAATATTCTGGAAAAGCAATACAGAGCTCTGGATTCCGTCTCTTTCTGAAGCCCTATCACAGAGAAGTCAGTGCAAGCTGCTGCAGGAAGGCGGAACCACGAGTTTCCTCTGCACAGAGAATTTAT